GGGCGGCCAAAATTGTTTTTGCTTTGGGCGGCAAAAATCCTAGAGCCGGCCCTGCCTGTTGGTGTTTGTTCTCAAGCAGTGTGGGTGCAGAGCCGGCAATGAGGAACCAACCAGGATTATTCAATTTCTTTCTATATCAAGCTTTTTACACATGAAGCTGCCTCAGAGGGAACTAGGATTTTGACTAGCAAACAGGGCCGTCCTTAGGCATAGGCGACTGCATAGGGCACCCGGAAATTTGGGGCACCCCTGGGTCTTAGTGTCCACCCTCCTGCCTCTTCCTATCCCTGTTCTGACCCTTCCTGCAGGCTCCCACAGCTAGCTGCTCCAGCCTGGTGACTCTTACTCCGGAGGAGATCTAGTAACTTAAAAGTGAAAAAGCCTTCCAGCCTGCCAGCCCTATTAGCACAACATTGAAATTGTTAAAGAGCCATTCACGTGGTAATGAAGCCATTTAACAGGCATTTGCCAATCCCCAGGTATATACTGTCAGTTTTTGAATTTACTAACAAAAACAGTTGTGCATTACTGTAGTGCTTGGATCTTCAGACATAATTTTTTAAATAAATCCTTCAAAAGACCACGCATCTAAAATACACATTTTAATTTTAAATTTAACTTCCTTCCAAAGTCTTCCTGTCCTTTCTGCCATCCCTTTCTCCCCTCACCCCCCTGTTGAAGAGCGGCTAGCTCTTAAAGGGACAACACCCCTTTCCTGCTAGATAGCTGGACAAATGAGTTTCCCTTTCTTCTCTTCTATTTGATGAACTAGTTTTAAGAGAACCATCCAGCAAAATTGGTACCTTAGTAAGACATAAAATCCTTTGTTATGCCTAAAATCTTTGGAAACATTTTTTTTAAAGTTGGTGAAATTTCATACAGGTGTCTATTGTTATGGAGATCACACAAAGTAAATTAGCGTTCCCTTTTTCTAAAAGCAATGAACATTGTTATGAACACACTAAACCTCTGTGACTGATTAATTTAAAATAATGTCTTTGCTTCAGTGAGTTAAATATGTAGTAATGTGGAATGATTACTTTATGAAGGCTTAAGAGTACATTTAAAATATAAAATCAGCTTAGAAATACCGATTAAGAAAATGTAAAACAGAGAAGAGCTGCATCATGTATTCCATAATATGTAATGTTGTATTCAGCAAGACAGCTGACCTGCCCTTACTACAAAGTTTTTGCAAATAAATCTCTGAAACTTCAGGGTATATCAAAAAACCCATGACTGACATTTTTATTCCTAAATTTAGTGCTTTCAATTTGGTACCTTCTGCGTGTCCAGTCTTCATCTTCTGGCATGCAGTGGAAAACATGCTCCATTTTCTTTTGAAAAAAAACACTCTTCTGCAATTTCTTTCTAATGTCATTTGCTTCATTTGGGTTCAGGGATTTGGCTGGAAGGGAGTGAGCAGGGAGGGGGAGGGAAGAGAAGAGGGAGACAGTGGGGAGGGGTAGGGCCGGGCAGAGTGGGGGCTGGGCCTAGGGCAGAGCAAGGGTGGAGTATGGGTGGAGTCACAGGCAGAAGAGGTGGGCTGGGGAGCTAGCCGCCTCAAGCGGCAGCTTTACCCACCACCCATGACAGCAGGTAAGAGTGGGTCGGCTCCCGCACACCCAGCGTGCGCTGCAGTGTCCTTAGGCAGGGGCCATATTTAGAGAGCCGAATGCGCCGATGCTGCGCATTCTGCGTGAGGGAGAGGGTACGGGGGTCTCTGCGGGGAACTGTGACTCTCCGCCACTGTGAGGTGGGCCGGGCAGCTCGGTATCCTTTGCTGCCTCGTCCCTCCCCCCCACTGGGCTGTGAGCCCAGGCTGCTGTCGGGTATGGGGCACCAGTTTAATAATACTGTGTAGGGCCTTATAAATCCTAAGGACGGCCCTGCTAGTAAATAAACAGGAAAGTGTCAATTTATCTTCACAATACTCAACAATGCAACCTCCTTACTCTTTCTTGACCTCTCAATTCTTTTTCCCTCCTGAAATGCTCTGCTCTATAATGCCAGCTGAGAATCAAAGGGAAATGAACAAGAGCTTTCAAAGACAGCCGAGCAGTATGATTTATATCCCAAAACCAAAGGCTACACAGATAGTTCTTCTGGGGACAAACTATACATCAGTAATCACTGAACCAGTTAACCAAAAAAATTCTAGTCTTCTCCCCTCAATCAACTTGTCTACTTCCAGAAGGTGACATTCACTCCCTTGCAAAAGGCCCAGCATAGCACCACTTAAATCCCAAGTAAGCCCTTAAGTAGGCTCAAGAATGAACCAATTTTATCTTTAAGGTACTTTACCCTTAATGAAAAGGTATAATAACAGTTAAAGTATTGCTTCTGAAACTGCTGCAGAACCATTCAAAGAAGGCTGAAGAAGAACAGGTGATTATGCCATACCACCAACTCCTCAATGCTACAGGTTTAGAAAGGGGATCAGGGAAAGAGAAAATAAAGTTGGAGATAATATTATCATTTCCCTTCCCCCATGAGAGGACTAATATGTAATATGTTATTTTGTTATTTTTATGACTATATCACAGTAATACGAACAGGAGTTACTAGATGGTTTACCAGCAGATGGATGTTTTCAGAAACTAGTGTATTATATACTCTAGGTTGATCTGTTGACCTATTGTGCAGCTTTAGTAATAAACTGATTTATCAGATAAAAAATGACATAATAAAGTCTGAATGAAAAAACAATTTTATTTACAGACAGTAGAGCCTTGCTAGCGTGGACACCTCCTAGTATGCACAAACAAGTCAATTTCTCCTTCAATAAAAGAGTTACTAGCTCAGACAATAGTGTAGGGAGGTGTCCGGTTACAAAACCTATTTTTACAATATATTACAGTGCAGTCATGATACTGTAATAATAAATGTACTATGGTACATCTTGTAAAAATAAAGTAAGACATTCTGTACATTTCAAACTATAATTAATTAAAATGAAGATAGAATTGTAAAGTAAATAACAAAAGCATATTTTATGATGAATTACCCTGGCTTTTTAAAATGTTTACTCTTTTACTAACTAATTCACAAAATCCAGTAACTCACAAAGGGCCATACAATCAAGGTGTGCATTAACAAGGTTTTATTGTCTGTATCTTTACAAAGCAGTTAATACACGAGCAATATGCAAGTTGTAGGGGTCAATTAGTTATCAACAGATGCACAACAACAAAAAAGTAACAACCCACAAAACTTACCCCTGGCCTGGGAAGTGATAGGTAGGCACGCTTCTCTCCTACGAACAACATAAGAATATTTGTATGCAGATTTTAATAAATACCATAATACTTCTAGTTTCACCCTCCCTTCACTTTAAACGTACTTATCTGTAATCCTCTCTGAAGTTCACTCAGAATTTCCACTCTTTATCTTGTGCTTCCAGAGACAGATAAGCCAGGAATTCCCCTATTGTTAAGATTTTTAACCCTCGGTCACTGATAGCTGAGCATAAGCCCCTCCCCTTTCATGCCATTCTGACTTTTAGTGCCTCTAGACCCTTCCAGTCAAGTCTGAAATATACAGGAATCAGAACTACTTGAAAAAAAACAAACAAAAAACCAACAGCATCCCCACCTCAGCCAAGGAGAAGGCAGGCAAAAGAATGGAAAAAATTAATAAAAACAACACCTCACCTCAAAAACAGAACCCCAAACTGAGGTGGGTGCATGAGTGGGAATCCTGCGAGATGATATCTACAAAGAAGAATTATGAGTAACTAATTCCTTTCTTTAAAAGGTACCATCATCACATGTTACCCACTCCTGGAAATAATAAAAAGACAATCAAGAAACTGAAATCTTAATATAAAAATAAGTAATGAATATGGGTGCACAGGCACACTTAAAATATGGCATATGCAGAACATATAGTATTGTGATATGTTTTACTGGCATGAGTCTGGAATGGCTGCATCACTCAGCAGCAGTGAAGCCCCCTGTGAGTTATGGAAGGTTGGCCCAAATAAGTGCCAATAAAACCTTTATGATACACTGCACTAATGTATATCTGTATATGCCACATATTTTGTAGAAAAAACTATTTTAGACGCGTGTTTAAGAGAATTTTAGAATTTTTTTATTGGAACTATTTCTTTCATTTCCTGAGAAGTCAGGTGCCTTGGTCATTCTGAGTACAACTGAACAAGAGAGTCAGAGGGAGAGAAAAAAAATTAAAATACATTTAAACTACATCAAAGTGAGCTAAAGAGCTTTCCCACAGATAAACATGTCACAAAAGGGGGACTGTGCCATGTGCTGACAACCTTGCATAGCATCTTCAGCTACTGCGGACCTGTATTTTTCAAAATTCCACTAAACTTGAATTTTTACTCTGATCCTAAGATAGAAGAGCTGTGATGTATCTCTTGTTTAACTAGAAACATTGACGAATAAGCTACTCCCTGACAGCACAGACTCCTTCAGTTCTATGGGTATATGGCTACAATAATATACATCCATGTCATCCTGGCTCACAGAAGGTACAATGGGAGAAGAGGAATATTCACAGGACACCTCAAGTACTGATCCTCTGCACGACACATGGCCTTAGGTGTCCTGCAAAGGTCTGTGTCTTCAGGGGAAGATAAAAATTTGAATCCATTTCAAGAAAGTAAAGAGCTCTGCTCACTTGAGGTGCAAGTACTAAGAGATGGCCCAAAAACATGGAGACTGAGATGAAAGACAACAACAGGAGAAGTGTCAAAACTTGCCATAGTTCTGGTTAAAAATAATTTTGTGAAGGTTAGAAGATGGGAAACACTAGTAGACCTTGTGGAAGGGTTCCTAAACCCCAATCACTCCAAGAAGTCACTGTACATTTCATCTATTAGGAGATGTGTCCTTGGTTCAGCAGACTGGTGGAACCTTCTAGAAACAGTGCCAGTTGGGGAAGCCCACACGTCTTTTGAATGTTTGAAGCCATAAGGGTAGCAAAGTATAAAAATGGGGAAATGGCAACACAACCGTCTCAATTCCTTCCAACTGCAGTAGAGTACAGATCTGGAAAGCATGCCTGGTCTTTCACCAGACCTAGCTAAAAAAAATCTTTTTGCATTTGTAAATAGTTAGTATTTGTTTTTTATAGTTTTAGTAATTTTAGGAAGTTTTAGTGAGAAAACACTTAGCTAGTATTTGAGGCCCTTAAGATGCTTTTTTTGTGCACCTGCTAGTAAGAGAGATCAGGCTCTACAGGTTATATCTCTTGCCCAGCAGTTTTTTGAGTCTCAGATGCAACTCTCTGGAAAAGGCGTGGTCCTCCTCATGTTATTTCATAGGTAAGAGCTACATCTGGAGGGCAAGGAAAGAGGCAGAAAATGCCTCCAGGTAGTCTTATTGCCTTGGCAGCAAAGCTCAAGTTCAGAGGCTCTCAGCGCCACAGGTTCTGTGCAGGACCAATGAGAGCCTCTCTGGCTCCCAGCACATCTCCAGGGTTTAAGACAAGGCATCTAAAATTGGCACTGGCATCTGAAACGGGAAGCAAGACAGATTCAACAAGTAAGGATCTGACCAGTGGATCCAAAGGCCAGCTGGAACACAGGATAAGTATGTTCACACTATCATTGCTTTATTCCCCTTCCATTTCCATCAGTTATGAAGGGCCCACAAACATCTGAGGGTTTTCCTTCTAAATCTCTTTCTCAGAGGAACAAGCAGACTCATGTTCCCCAGGTTCGATGTCACACTCTTCAAAAGCTCCTGGTGGGCCCTTGTATCACCCTGGGGAAGGTCCTGCTATCACCTCATCGGGCGAAGATGATGAGGAGGCAGGTACAGGTGGGGCGGCCAACTCCACCGCTTCTGTCAGGGGAGCATCGGCCAAGGCTGGCTGTCCCTGGGGAGCTTGCTCCAACTCTGCGTCCACGTCAGGGGGCGGGTGGGAGACTGTCGCTGATCATCTTTCAAATGCCCCTAAAACCAACCGATGCCCTTGCGATGGATGGAGAAACCAAGAGGCCGGCCACTGGCCCTGGGGTTATGCGGCTACTGGTGGCCCAGAAGGGAATGCCAACGTCCCCAGTGGGTGACCTTGGCCTGCAGGCAGGTCTTCCTCCTCGCTGTCATAGCCTGAGGAGGGAGAGACTTGTCTGGGGGCCCAGAACGGTACTGAGGCCTCCTGTCTATCCCATTCCTATCAGCTCTCTCCGCGGACCTCCGTTGGGGACCTGCATAGACATGAAGGCTCTTGGTGCCATGACTCCAGTGACCGGTGTTGGCATTCGGCAGATTGGCGACAGTACCCTGGTGATCGACGCATCACGCTTTGAGAATGGTGCCGTTCCACAGGGAGCGGGAGCAAGAGGATAGACGTCTCGGAGACTGTCAATGTGCTCGCAGTGATCTGTACTGGCAATCCAGAGACCGATGACAAGGCACCTCGACCCTCTGGAGTGGTGCCGAGGACTGAGAGACCGACTCGGGCGCTCCCGACACTGGGGCTCTGGGGACTGGTGACATGCCTCTGCAGATCTGCGCCAGACCGCCAGCGATCGATACCGGGACCCCGAGGAATGCTGCCTAAAGTCCAGGGACCAATGCTGGGAACTCTATCAGGTAAACTGACCTGCATCTGGGGGCTGGTGGCACTGTTCAGGCGAGCGCTGACGGGGCACCCCCTGCAGTGGAGAGTGGTGCCGCGCTGATGGAGACCACTGGAAGGGTTCCAGGGCATGTTTACCTCTCGAACGGGGTACCTTTACTAACCGACGTGGGCAGCACTGAAAGAGACAGTATGTCCTTAGTGGCCTGAAAGGCCTCCAGCATGAATGGCACTGCCAGGTGCTGAGTGCCTCTGCCAGTTCCTGCGGTGGTGGTGGGGTCTGAAAGTGGGTTTGACAGCTCAATGGGAGCTGGAGCCTGGCTAACGTCTGGAGGGGAAGAGCTGCCCCGCGCAGGTCTTTGCTCTCCTCCCACTCTCTCCTTCCTTTTCCGGGATGTAGGAGAATGCCCTCTCCCAGCCTTTCTTTACTTTTTAACCTGTACTGGGGATGGGGATCAGCACCGGTTGGAGGTCGGTGCTGGCGGTGTGCTCTGCACCGAGGCCACAATGCTTGGAGCAGAGTCTGATCTCGTTGGCTCCGAGGCTGGTGCAAGGGCCGACTCCATAAGGAGTGCTCGGAGACCAATGGCCCGCTCCTTTTTGGTCTGCAGCCTGAAGCTCTTGCAATGTGACACTTGTCGCTCATATGGGTTTCCCCTAAACACTTCAGGCAGCTTCTATGGGGGATCACTGACTGGCACAAGTTTTTTTGCAGCAGTCACAAGGCTTGAAGCATGGGGACCACGGCATGCCCTGTCTCTAGGCTAAGTCCCGCATGGGACTAACTAATTCTAGCTTAACACTAAAGGAACTATTAACTATACAACTTTAACAACTATATACAACAAATTTGCTACTAAGCACAGCTGAAATAGGAAAGCTTGCCGGGGCAAGGAGATGTTCCAGCACCGTCACTGGCAGTAAGAAGAAAGTGAGGGAGGGGGAACCGGCAGCACCCCTTATACTGGTGCATACGCGTGCCACTCCAGAGGGCACCAGAGCCAAACCCCTACAGATACCACTAAGGGAAAAGCTTCCAGCACTGGGGCATGTGGGGAGCACACACACCTACAATGTAATGGACATGAGCAAGCACTCAAAGAAGAACTTAAGAGAAGTGCAAGAGACAAAGCTGATTTTGTAAGTTAAGTTTTCCTTGTGACACGTGGTTAATAAAACAGAATGCTTACATCATGTGTGGTTATTATGACATAGCTCTAGCCATGGGGTATAAAGTAACAAAAAGGACACTGATGCCATGACAAGGCCACCTCAGAAGGCAAGGCATATATGTATACCCACAGCTAGATGACTGGCTGGTCAGAGCCCAATCCCAAGTAGTTCTAACATTCCATGAGGACAACTTGCTATTTATTTAAAAAGTTGGGCCAAGAGATTAACTGAGGGAAAAAATCCTGCATTACCCTAACTCAGAGAATCATCTTCACTCGGATAATTTTGGATTTGATACAAGGCAGGCACTCCTACCAGAGGACAGAGGTACTTCAAAATATGTAAGGCTAGAAACACTGACAGGTAACATGTCAACCAGTGGTGTTTTTCCATAGACTGATAGGCCTCAAGACTTAAAGCACTTATGCAACTCCTTATGCTTGACTAAGAATGAGGCCCTAAAGCATAGGTTAGTGCAATAATACATCCCCAATGTAGATAACATATCTCTTCTGCTGCTGATACCCC